TTCTAGTCAAAATAGGAACCAAACCAACTCTATGTTAAACCTCAGTTATTTATTCGTAAACTGATCAAGACCTGATCCAGGTGTTTTACAATGACTGAAATAGAACATATGGAGGGTCAGAATTCCTTCCTCTTTTTTTTACATTTTCTCCTATAGTGTAGAGACAAAACCACATTGACATGGCTAAGCAGCAATACCTGTGGCAGTGCCATTGACAGAACAAAGTCTTGTCCCTGCTGCTTGCACCCTGCCCCTTCACTGTGCATCACACAGTGAAGTTAGCTGGGCTCCCTCTTAGCACACAGCTGTTGTGTTTTGGGGCAGGAGTGGCTACACCAGCAGGAAAATCCATCAGACTGCTGCATCTCTTCACTGCATTTTGCTCCTGCAGGAAGGGTGGTGGTGATGCTTGCTATATAGTTCTTACAGTCTAGACAACAATGAAGCCATAGAAATTTCCTGAAAGACCAAAGAGCAGAGCAGGGAAAGAAAGTTATTTCTCATTAACTTTCTAAGCGTCTGCTTCATATTATGAAAATATTAAAAACCCCTATATAAACAAAACCAACTTACTTGTTTCTTTTGAGAAGAAGTGACACCATCAGACCAGCTGAAAGTAGAACTAAGAGTCCTTCGACATAATACTTTCCACCTTTCAAGAAATTTCTGTTAATTTAGGTGCTGTACCTCTACGTATAGCAAGCAGATTCAGTACTAATATACATGAGATTAAAGGTTAATTTGTATGGACCATAAAAGCCATATTTTATTCATTAAGAAGGTTTTTCTGAGATGCACAATTTTAGGCCAGTGGTATTAATTAACATCAGGGCCAAGGTGCCCTACGTGTATTGTTGATAAAGGTGAGTTATATGAACCTGGTTGAGAGAAATGGAAGTCAGAAAGGAGACCATTATTTTTCTTTTTCTTTTAAACATCAATTTAACACATCCTTGTGCAAATGCATACTGTGAAGAGCACAGTCACCCTGGCCTTTATGTAATTGGAACTACACGGTTTACTTGCTAGGAATGCTAACAGGGGAACCACCTGGGTTCATTTTGGTGTCTCAAAGCCCAGAACTTACTTGCTCCCTTTGAGCTGAGCACCTAGCCTGGTAACAGAACACAAAGGAAACCAGTGTTTGCCTTGGGTTGGAGCACAGTGACTGAGAAGGAACAAAGGAATGCTTATCACTTTCTTCTTTTCAATGGTCTATAGAAGCAGCTACCTCTTCTTCCAGCATGGTCTGCTGCAGAGTATCAAAAAAAATCCAGCTTGACACAAAATAACATCCCTTTTCTGTTTTTGTCCAATTTACAAATTCTGGCTTTCTCTTATAAACCACATTTTGGGTCAGGGTACATTTTAGTCTATGCAAATTATCTTCACATACATGCATATAAATACAAAGTCCTGGAGAAATTTTTGCTCTGAATTTGATTGATTTAGAAAATGGAGTTGCAGTCTTGTTCACATAACATTACATCTGAAACTGCAAAGTACCATACTCTACCACAGTATTCATGTTTCCAGGATCCAAAATAATTCTGGCCTCATAAATAGTGCCACTAACACAAAGGTCAGACATGTTTGTGATTCATTTATGCCACATGGTAGGTTTTTTTTGGAACTACCCCAGAAATTAGACAAAATTATCAGCCACAAGACTATTTTGCTAACATGCTTCCTTTGAAAAGAACAAAGTGAAGCAGGGTTTGTTTCATTTACTTGCTTTAAAAAATAGGCGTCTTCTAAGTTTGTACTGTTTTCTTTAGAGCTACTCCAAGTTAAAAAGATGGAAGATTGTCACCGTGTAACCCCAGCCAGCAGCTCAGGCCCACACAGCCACTTGCTCACTACCCTCTGGTGGGATGAGTGAAGAATCAGAAAAGTGAGAAAACTCAGGGGTTGAGATAAAGAAAGTTTAACAGGGAAAGCTGAAGTCGTGCATGTGAACAAAGGAAAACAAGGAATTCATTCACTATTGCCCATCAGCAGGCAGGGGTTCAGCCATCTCCAGGACAGGGCTCTATCCCATGTGATGGTTACTTGAGAAGACAAACACCACGACCCCAAACGTTCCCCTTCCTTCCTTTTCCCCAGCTGTATATGCTGAGCATGATGCCATGTGGTCTGGGATATCCCTCTGGTCAGCTGGGGTCACCTGTCCCGGCTGTGTCCTCCCCTAACCTCTTGTGCACCCGCAGCCTGCTCACTGGTGGGGTGAGAGGCAGAAAAGGCCTCGACTCTGTTGTAAGCACTGCTCAGCAGTACCTGAAACATCCCTGTGTTACCAACACTGTTTACAAAATTCAGCCCTGTACTAGCTACTATGAAGAAAATTAACACTATCCCAGGGAAAACCAGCACAGGGATATATTTTGGTAAAGGACTAAAATAACCATAGACAAACACATTGAAAACAAAACACTGCAGTGTGGAAGTGCTATTAACCACATCATCTTCAGGATTCCCAGCTCTCACTGGAGATGCTAAACTAATGCTGCTTGGGTTCTCTATCATATCACAAGTGATCAAGAGCCATCAACTCTAAAAGAAAGCACTCTCAGGAATAATGTGGTTTCCCTTGCTCAATTAAAAAGAAGCAAAAACATAGAACTACTTAGAGTCATAGAATAGTTAGGGTTGGAAAGGACCTTAAGATCTAGTTCCAACCCACCTGCCATGGGCAAGGACACCTCACACTAAACCATCTCACCCAAGGCTCTATCCAACCTGGCCTTGAACACCGCCAGGGATGGAACATTCACAACCTCCCTGGGCAACCCATTCCAGTGCCTCACCACCCTCACAGGAAAGAATTTCCTCCTTAGATCCAATCTAAACTTCCCCTGTTTAAGTTTGAACCCGTTACTCCTTGTCCTATCACTGCAGTCCCTAATGAAGAGTCCATCCCCAGCATCCTTATAGGCCCCCTTCAGATACTGGAAGGCTGCCATGAGGTCTCCACGCAGCCTTCTCTTCTCCAGGCTGAACAGCCCCAACTTCCTCAGCCTGTCTTCATACAGGAGGTGCTTCAGTCCCCTGATCATCCTCGTGGCCCTCCTCTGGACTTGTTCCAACAGCTCCATGTCCTTTTTATGTTGAGGACACCAGAACTGCACACAATACTCCAGGTGAGGTCCCACGAGAGCAGAGTAGAGGGGCAGGATCACAGTAAGTTACTACTGTCTAGTGAGCAACTATCCTTTCATCTGGTCACACCTGAGTGTAAACAGTCCTTTGACATGTCCTTCTGTAAGTGTAAACAAATTGAAAGTGGTAAAGCTCTGATCTTTTCTGCTTTACTGCATTACTGCTGACAGATTTGCTCACAATACAGAGCTATGATGTCATGCTGGCTAATGGCTAATAGAGTATCATCCTCTTCTCTGGTAAATAAAGCAGGGATCCTTACCAGGAATATGTTTGGAATAGTCAACCCCCTCTTCCATCCTTTCCTCTGGGACACATATGTCCATAGCTTGGTCACAGATGATGTCACACATTTGGATTATTAAGGTAATCTGTCATCTCTGTATTTGATGAGGCAGAACATGATGTAGAATGACCAGGAAAAATTTATAAAGGACCTTGTAGAATTAGACCTTTTCTATGTTAACCCTCTGAAGCATGGGATAAACTTATCGACCTAGTATTCAAATTCCCAACACAGCATATGCCCATCTGCCTCAGCTCATTGATCTGATGCAAGACAAGGAGCAAACAAAGCAAGACTTAAGGGATTCAAAGCAGGCTAGGCAAATCTTACCCCAGCTTCACAAGGATAGCTTCAAATGTGAATGCACTTTATGACTCTACAACCTCTCCTGAGTAAACCCCCATGCATTTTCTCACCATACTGCAGTCTGGCCTGGCTAACTCTCACGCACTCAAGCCCCTCTGCTCCCACTAGGTTCACAGTGAATGAGCCAACCTAAAAGTTGAGCAGCAAAAATATGTCATCACCAGATAATATTCTCCAATTCTTGACACCTCATCATTTGCTTCAGCAGTTATTGACACAAAAGTCATATGGCTTTCAATTTATTGAGTCTTTTCTACTAATTGTTTCCTGATGGCACAACTCTGTTTTCCATTTTCTGTTGACCAAGAGTTTTTCTACAGGTCGCAGCTGGGTCTTCTATCTATGGTACCAGAAAGAGGCAGTAAGCAATATAGCCTCTTTCTTGCTCAATAAGCAAAATAGCAGTAAGAACAGCAGCAACCATTTGCTCTCCAGCCCAGTAGTCATTAGAAGATACTTAATACTGACACAAACACAAAAAGACCCCACCTCCAAACAAAAACCCATAACCAACCACCCACTGTAATCTCCACATCAGACACAGCCTGAGTCATTATGTCCAAATAACAGAATACAGAATAATCTCAGTACAGATATATTAAAAACTTGTATGCAAATATTTTATTCTCTCATATTTTGCAAATCAGAAAGCAGTGTTTATTAATAAAAAATAATACAGAATTATTATTTTTCTTCCAGTCCACACTCATATATTACCAGGTTTTCCACATTACAGATAAAACTGTCTCTTACAGACTAAAGATAACATTCACTTTCGGCATATTCTGTACTTTTGACTTATTTAACATTAGTCTTCCGAACTATTTACAAATATATTACAACCTTTAAACCTCAAAGCAAAGGAGTATTTCAATAATCAATCTGACACAAGGATCAGTAGCTCCTACATAACTTCAGTGTTTAAGAGAAACTATACACGCAGTGCGGTAGGTCAGAATAATTTATATCTTTAAAAAAAAAGAAAAGCATTGAAAGTTTCTGAATATAAAACTTCCGCATTGTAGTGGTACCTACTGACCCGCCTCGACTGGAGGACAAGAATGTGAGGTGATGTCACTGTGCTTGTAGAGAGCCTCGTCTAAGTCCAGTGCCTTGTTGCTCAGCTTGACGGTCATGCAGCCGTGGTAGGATGCAGTGACCGGAGTGGAAGTGACAGGAACACCTGTATGAAAGGGAAGACACGCATCTCTGATGGCTGCTTTTGAATAAATACCTGCCCTACCCATGCTCAGGTGACTGTCACTTGAATGGTTTCAAGCTCTCCTCCACTCTGGGATTTCTACTTCCCCGCCGTCCCTCTCACTAAAAGGCAAGAGCACATTGCCAGACGTGTGGAAATGTCATCTGCTGTCGTGCTCAAAAGCCCTTCTCCCAGGATGAAGCCTTCCGCAGCTGCTCTGTGTCTCTGTAAGTCCTCTAGTCCTGATAAAACTATGTGCTGCACTGCAGCAAGGCTTCACTCCAGTTGCACACTCTGTTCCCCATGCTTTCTGTCGTCTCGATGTTTCTCCCCCCTCCATCTCTGGGTCCTTTTCTTTGTCATCAGTGCAGTTGTTATATCTTCTCCTAATCCTCTCTCTATCTCTCCAAAATACCTGCCAGAAAATTATTGGAAGAACTTCATGACAGGAAGGCTTTTCCCTCTACCACTCAGCAGACTCATCTTTACTGCGATTATGCTGTGTATCAGCACAAGGAGGTTTCTCGCATTCATCAGAAAGGTGCTGGAATACATCAGTTGAGTTGGTAAGACTAATGAGACTAATTTTTGCTAAAGAGATCCACCAGTGACATACTTTTAATCAGTTTACCCAAGGCAGAAAAACAAATAGGAAGGAAGACATTAAATACAATCCAACAGACTAGAGGAAATTAGTAAATCTTATTACCAACTCCTGTAATGTCATATTCACATTGAATTTAAAGAAATAAAAAACCCCACACAGTAACATAGTAACATGAAAATTTACAAGAACTGTGTCCTCTACCCTTCCCCAAAGGTTATTAGTTTATTTACAACCCAAACCCAACCCAATCAAGCTGGTTGTGCAATGGAAACCAATGAACATCTCAAAGGTTATTTAACTTCACAGTGATGCAGGTAGCTAAGTAAACCCCTTATCTTTACCCTGAAGCAAGGACAACTGGAACAATAGATTGTCCTATTGACCTGAGATTGTGTGCAATTTAAAGGGCTCTGCTGCGAGACATGCAGGGCCAAGTTTGAAGCTGATGTGATCGAACACAGCTCAGGCAGACCCTAGGACTGAGTGAGAGAATGAAAATTGCGTGGGATCCATAAGCCACAAATACTACACATGTTCCAGCTTGATGGCTGAAAAGTACCATTGCTTGGTAGCTGCTTAAACTAGTCATTTCAGCCATTTCTTATTCCTCCCCTTTTACCAAATTTCATCTGTGAAGTCTGCTTAGGAGAAGGGGACATCTCTGTTAGAGTACTCGCATGAATGTAAACTCAATTTTGACTCAGAAGAAGTTGAAGTGTTGGCTTGAACACTAACCTAAGGAATCATGCAGATTGCTGTTACATGTGTGGGCTTTCAGAAGGATATGTAAGATACTACCAAAAATAATTAAAAGAAAAAAGACTCAGAAGCCTTTTTTACAGGCTCCTTCCCCCAGTGGTATAAATATTACCTGGAAAAACACCTATGCATCATAGAAATTATAGAATTTAGGATTTACCAGAACTGAAAATACCATAGAAAAGGTAATAAATGCCTATACATTCCCTCTTCTCTCTTAAAACTCTAAATTATTTCTTCCACATCTGCAGTATTGCCTGTACTTAAGATGGGACACAGTCTATCTTTCTTTATTTGTGGCAAATGGAATAAAGACATTAAGTGTGACCACTATAGTTTGTTTTTGCCACAGGGTACAGGAGCAGGAAAAAGCCAAAACCAACGTAATGTTTTCAAAATCTCAGTAAGGCAAACTCACTTAGATTTGACCATTTGGTACAGTTATTTAACCCAGAGTGATGGATCCAACCAAAGTGCTGAAATATTTATTTGTTTGGCAAGTTACAAGGTTTCTTGATGCAAGTGCTGGGTTCCTCTCAATGACAAAAGCAGACCACAGGCAGAAATTCCTGTTGCTGAGCAGAACAGTTTGAAAGGGGGCAGTAGCTAAGCCTACAGAAGTCAGCTATGATATCCTGCACCTAGTACTGGCTAATTAAAACCTGTGCTTCACCCAGCAAAGTTAGACTGAGCCAGCCACAGAGAACTTGGAACAGTGATGCAGTGGAACTGTCTTCTGAGCTGTGAAAGTATCCGCTGTGCACATGAGAGCTATTTGAAAGCAAGCAGGTGACCTCTCTTGCTTGTGCAACGGCCAGCTCAGACAATTCAATCTGACATAGGAAAATGCCACATTTGAGGATTCAGCCTTGCTCCTGCCAGTGTGTGAACATCCCAGAGTGTGTGGCCTCCCCCTTTTAGGTGTGACTAGATGCCACTTACATTATTGGCATGAATGCTCTGTAAACTCTTGTTCATGGTGGGAAAGTCACGCCATGTGTCGAAGCACACATGGCACCTCAGCCACACTTTTCCAGCCTGGCTGCTTCAGTGCCTACCAAGAGACCAAAACTGCTGCCTCTCCCTTGCTTGGGCAAGTAGGGGCAAAATTTTGCTTAGCTGCTTTCGACAAAATAGGATGTACTGCTGTTCATCAGAGATGCAAATGTTCCCGTAATTGCGCTTCTCAGCAGCAGGGACTGATAAACCAGTTCACCCAGAAGAAGAGACAAACCCCCACACTTGCCCAAAATTCATGATTCAGATGAAAGTTTGATCTTCCAACTTCAGAACAGAAGAGCAAACAGACCTCTCCCAAGAAGCCCTGTTGCTGCTGAAGCTATAAGTGGTGGTAGCCCTTTGGTTGTGGCTCTACATACCCTCTCATGAGAGGAAATCTGTTAATTGTGCAGTGCTGTGATCAGTTCAAAGAGAACATCATCCAGGGAGAATCACCACACTGGGCTTCCCAGGTTTCACTCAAAACAATGTGAGGCCCTAGTACTCTCCACAGGGAGCACTCACACATGTTCATTACATTATTGAAGCACTGCAGGAGCCTGTGATCTAGCTCCTATGAGTTTTATCAGGTTTAGGATAATGAACCTACTTACAACTATTCTTCAGATAAACTATTCCTATTGCTGACCAAGCAAAACCTCCTCTTTCTGTTTTGGCTTCAGATGTTCACAGAAGGACACCCTCATTCAAGGAAAAAAGATAATTGCCAAGTGCACCCTCACACCTCTTAAGAACACGTGACTGAACTGCAAAGCTTACCCAAGCAAAAAGAGAGAAGGAGGCTCCCAGCTCGAATAAATTGAGACAGTTCTCCTGACTGCCAGCCTCAGCAAGGTGGGTTGGGAGTTGGTAGTCCAAACTACAAACCTGGATGCTCACCTGGCAATCCTCCCAAGTATGTCTTCACTGTTGATTGCAAAGAGTTCTCCAAGATGGATAGACTATCCTCTAACTCAGAGATGCTTAGTTCACCCTCTCCTGCTATCCCATCTACCCTCAGGGATAAGTGATCTTTCTTGATGAAGATGTCCACAGAGTGTTCCTTCTTATCACAAAGATTTATTGCCAGTCTGGACACAACTGTATTCTCCAAGGCCACAATGATATACTGGACAGCAGGCAAAAGAAATAAAAAGAAGCAGTGAGCAGAAATATACCTAGCCATGCATATCCAAGACGAGGATGGCCCCACTGTGGCCTTGTTTACAAAGATTTTGCAGAGCCACTAGAAAATTAGTCTTATTAATATTGCTGATTGTGTTCTGAACTCACTTGTACAGATGAAAAAAAACAATGTTCCAGTGGGACTGTTAAGACATAACCAGCTGTCTTCTCAGAAAGAATTCTTAGTGGGTCTTACAATATGTTATATTGTTCTGGAACCAAATACACTAGAGCTGCTGAACTACAAATGAAAAGTTGGCTCGGGTTTTTGTGAACTCATTTCTTGTTTGCACTTGTCTAATGCCAGAATCTAGCCCTTTATTATGAATACCATTAAATTAGTAGCTTCAGCACTCCATCGTAACTGGCCTGTCACAGTACCTGGAGTGACACCTAAAGCCTGTCTCTTGGAAATTTTGGGACTGTTACTGATTTTGGAGCTCTGGATGAGCTCCAGAGAATGGAATTTCTATGCTTATGGCATTAAACAGCTCTGTGCCAGAAAAACATAACAAAATATGCCTGCATGCAAGAGACCAGTTCCACCCAAGAGACCTAGACCACATTTGCAACTGACAGCTGTTTTTTGAAAATGACTTTTGGATGCAACAAGGAACCCTCTCTAGAAAAATGCTTACGTCTGTACCTGTTGTTTCAGTTTCTTTGTGGAGTGATAGTCAACCAGAGCCAGCGATAAAGGGACAGATGCTTCTTCTGTAACAAGAGCGAACAGCACACCCGTGTCTGTTGCTGGTTGAATCACAGCATTTACTTCTATTTCCCAACTTGTCTTGGTTTCATTTCCTGAAATCGGTTGCACTGCAGAAAAAGAAATGTGTAGCATGACAAACAACTCAAATGGGTAGAATGTGCAGTTTCTGCTTGGAGAGGAGGATAGATGGATGAGCATATGGAGGGATGGCCACATTTATCTTACTTAAAAAATAAATAAATAAATAAATTCCAAAGCACCTGAACATAAAATCAGAGAAGAAAATGGCATCGGTTTCCTCTTGTTACGTTCTGCATTCTGCTACCTTTCGGAATGTCAAAAGACAAGGTTAAGCTCTTTTAATACAACAAGAGATTCAAAATCCCATGGCTGTCAATCCAACAAGTTCAAAGATAGGCTAAAAGATAGGGCACCCAATTTTTTTAATTGTTCTTGACTGTCCAAATATCAATGAGGGATCTAAGTACAAATCTGACACAGAGGAAGCAAAGTGGAAAAGGATATAGGCCCACTACACTGATTATGTACCTAATCAGCTCCTGATCACAAACTCCTCAGAAGCTAAACATGGAATGTTCTATCTCATCCTGCTGAACTCTGAATTAAACTTTCTGGCATCCTTCTTGCTGCTGCAGTGCCCTTGTAATTTAAAGGGTGATGCTCACTACAAAGTAAGAGTTCAGTCCTGCTTCTGCAACCTCCCTTCAATGAAGTATTAGCTTTGCTCATTCACCACGTCTTGAAATACAAAACAATAAGTTCTTTATAAAGCTCACCATTACAAAGCCCCAAATAGAGGATTGTGATTGTAGAAACAAAAATATGAAAATGCAGGTGCTGAGGCCTCATTTCTGCTGAGCGCTGTCATCTGCGCTTTAGATGCTGCCTCGTCTTTACTTTGTAGCTTTTGAATCCATGTGTTAAATGAGATGACAAACACCTGATACTCCCTAATTTACAATGGCACAGCAGAAAAATCCACATAATGATGCACAGAAGGCTTCTGCACAGGAGAATTTACACACCGAACTAAAATAGATGGTTGGCATTTGTACAAGTTTCAAAACAGTGACAGCTGATTGCACATATAAACAAACAGAATAATCTAGAACAAAGAAAAGGTGCTTTTCGGAGTGCTTTCTGAGTATGGCCAAGTTTGGTTTGAAACTTGTTATTACTATATCTAGGCCAATTTTATTCAGCTTCTATCAGGGATATGCCTAGCGTTTGTCCCAGGTGTAACTAATACCACACAATGATTAAAAGTGAATCCAATCTTAGACATTTTGCTACAGGCAATAATGATTTTCTGTCCATCAGAAATTCAAGATACAGCACTATAGCTTGCAGCCCTCCCTCTCTAGCAGAAAATAGTGAATAGGGCTGGAACCACGTGCACTGCTGACAGAGATGTGAAGGCCCTAATGTTAAGGATGAGCTGGAACCAGCCTGGGTATGAAATGCATTACTGGAGCTTCACAGAGAGAACCTAATCCATGCTAGGCATACTCGTACTGGCTCTAGCCATCATTCGTAGGTTGTCCTTTGCTATGAAACACAAGTTTAGCTATTACTCTCCATCCACAGCTGCCAGTCTTTTCTGCATTGATCAACACTGAGTCTAATATACATGTAAGTTTTAAACTACTTATTAACCAAATACGGTTAATGGCAGAACAATAGGTCAGAAATAAAAATATAACGTACTTACCGTAAGTAAGATTAAACACAGCAAAACCTCGGCCAGGATAGAAAGACCCTCGTCCTGCTACAGAAAAGCACTGCATCTTTTCATTCATCTTTATGGTCTCTAGGATAGTGAAGTCCTCCCCATTCAGCCAGTTCCATGCCTGCATGCAACCATCCAGCCGAGGGTTTATCTAGGAAGACAAAGCAGTACACCATACCTCAAACTACTGTTCAGTGAAGAATAAGTGATTTTGGGTGCAGAGGAATACTGAACAGCAGAAATCATTTTGATGTGTTATGCTCATGCATAACAATTGGAGGCAATCCCATTGCTGCAAACACAAGCAAGTAAGTGGTCAGCATTTCCCAGGAAACTCCCGAGCTCAGCTTGTCTCCACAGGTCAGAAGGGCACTAGTTAATGTAGGTGCTGATTTCATTGTATTGGTTCTGCTAGCTCCTCTACATGATGCACATCATTAGGTGATTTACTTCTAAAACTCTGTGGCCAAAGCTATGTAACTCCTGTAATTTTGCATTGTGAATGCTGGAGGCTAACTTGAAGTTAAAAAAACCCAGTCCTTTGTGTCACTGCAAACAGCCTTCATGACACACAAGATGTTGGACCTGATCACAGGATAAGTTGTTGGCTTCTGGCTTAAGGGAGGGGTGCTTGAGCCACAAGACATGTACATCACTTCATACACACTTGTTCCTTACAGCTTCTAGTTATGTTATCCTGTACCAAATGCCAGCATTAAAATGTGAGACAGTATGTAAAGAGAAGGCTCCTTGGAAAGTGTCTAAATCAGGACCATGACTGCCAACTAACTGAAGCAGAGAGAGAATTAAGTGCATGAGCCAGGATAAAAACCTCAGGAGTTTTTTGGCTCCCAATCCCATATGCAGACCACACCCCAATTTTAATGTTTCAGACAAGCAGTGGCCCTGAATGACTTCTTGTGAGGAACAGGAGCCTTCCTCAGCTGCTGCACTCCCAGTCACAGAGCCACAAGCTTGTCACCTCATTTAGAAATAACAAGATGCCAATTTGGGTTTCAAGGTGCCAACTCCGTGTGTGGTGGACATTCAAAGCAGCCTGAGCAGCAGCTATTTCAGAAACACAGCAATCATCCAATCTCACCCAAAGAGGGCCTTAGCTTTTATTCATATGCCCTGTCTCCTTGAATTAGGAGGAAATAAAAGAAAGTAGGCTTTTGTTTCTCCTTGGGTCTTACTAAACTGAAACAGCAAATCCAAGCAGCAAACCTGCGGTACAATATACGTGAAGCACAAACGTTGATCACAACACAGAAAGTGCTCCAGCATTGTTTCCAGACTTAGTGGGTACAGTGGTACCCTCACACAGCTGTGTGTCCACTGACCACCCCAGCGCCACTCAGGGTTTCCAAGCCAGCATGACCACTGGTAATTTTGTCATGTGCTCCAGTTTTGTACGTCTTAATTCTTCAGGCAATGGGTGAGATACATCTCACCCAAACTTAATAAAAAAAACACGAGTCTCACCTTTGCTACTTCCTTAGGCTCCCTCTATAGTCAATGGAGACAAAGTTGTATCCAGAAGGTGATAATTCCACCTGTTTCAGGGCAGGCTGAACTGCTATCAGGAAGGACCTGCATTACCCCAAGAGAAGATGAAATCAAGCCCTTCAGGAGTGCAAAACAAGTGCTGTACTTACCGGTAGAATAAGGTCCTTTGTTTTGAAAGGAATGCCTCCTACTGTCAAATTCAGCTGATACAGCCCTTTTTCTAGAGTAAACAGATCCCCTGAGACAGCTATTTTCATAACTGCATCCCTGTTGACCTTTATAACCAAACTTCTTTCGAGTTCTTCAACAGAGATCTGAAAAAGTAAAATTGCAAATAGAATAATTCAGTATAAAAAAGATGTTAATATCTGCATCCTCAACTAAAGGACAGACAGCACCAGTGAAATCCCCAAGATGGAGAAACATTTTCTGTCCCCAAGCCTCTTTGTCTACCTTTAAAGTTACATCCCGCATTGATATGTAAATCTTTACTCTAGAAAGCAAAGGGTTGCTGTAATGGTGAAGACAGCCCAGCTACTTCAAAACAGCCGCACAAAAATATGAGAGGATTAACTACATGACATTTGGAGGCTGCTTTACACAAAATGTAAATGCAATAAGGAATTATTAATGAGAATCCTCCTATTGCAAATGCATGTGAAAGGAAAAGCTGGAAAGACAGATATCTTTTATTGGATCAGTGGAAGAGAATGCAGAAGCCTTCCAGCCACAGTCTTTGAATATTAACCTCTGAAAAAAGAATGACAGAAGATGTCATTTTTGAGAGAGTAATAAGAATGTGTAATAGGCAATAATTTTTCTCTCAAAAGGTCACTGTAAGTTTTAGTTCCCCATCTCTAACAGCTACTTCCAGGAAGATCCCATCACCACTGAAATTTCAACAAAGAGAAAATCATCATTTTAATTATGACCAGGCTGCACAGAGAAGCACTATAAAGCAGTCAGCTCGGCAATGGGTGAGGAGATGAAGCACAAAGCTGACATACAGCAAGCTGCTAAACAGCAACATGGATTCTGCTGCCTTGGGACCTGGGTCCTGCTACTGACAGGGTATTCTGTGGCTCTAGCAGAAGACAGCCCTTTTCTTCCTGTAGAGAAGAAGAAAGGAGTGCACCTCTGCTATAACATAATCTTCAGCACAGCACTCCTTCCCACCTACTCACTCTTCACCTGTACAGCTCTGTTCCCTAGGACACCCAGATGCTGCCTCCATCAGTGAGCCACTGTATGGAACCAAGTGTCTACTTGAGTGGCTGTTTAGATTTGTTCTTTCCTCTCTCTGCTAGTAGGCCATGTCATGAGCATATCGTTCTCTTTGCATTTTGAGAGCAGCTGTCCCCAAACTGTTTTTATCAATCAGCCATGCTGAGCTCTCACTCTGTGGCTGTAACAAAGGATGGCAGGGTTGAGCAGGTTTATACCTGGATACTCTGTCTGGACTGCAGTCTTCAGTAATGAAGATTAAGTGAATTGGGTAGTTGAAAAGATTATTCAAACTGTCAAACATTTTCTTCTCCTGTGCATTCTAGTACCATCTGGTTTACACTGCTAAAACACCGTTTACACCTGGCATGTTGCTCTCTGCTGTATCCTACAGGACATGAATTTATTTGTCTGAAGCTTGCTTGTTTAAGTGGCAACTACACCTCACATGGAGTCACACAGGTCAGTCTCAAACAGGCTTTTTTTGGGTATTGGCAGGCTGTTCTCTCAGTGGGTGAGAACAGAAGACCACAGGTCCTGGCAGCCACAGCCCAGCTACACTGGCTATCTCACTTGGATGTCTCTCGTCAGTGGCACTGTCACCACTGCCCTAATCACTGGCGTATGGAGTGCCACAAGGAGCTGGCACAGCCCATCTCCCTGCTCATTGCACAGATCTTGGGCAGTGGTGGAGCAAACAGGAATGGGGAAAAGCTGGCTCCAGCAATGCCCATACTGTGCTTGTCTGTGAAGAAATCCTGCAACTTTCAGGCCCCCCAAAATTCACTAAAATTTTATTAGATTGTATAGAAAGTAGTAACATGGAAATTTTAACAAATTAGGCCAAGCTCTTAGCTGCTTCTGATCATCAATATAAACAAACCCAAACCAGTGGAAACTTCCATAGGAGAAGGGGTTAATCCCTATGGAAACTCTAAACTCATTCTGGTTTAGGAAACTGCATTCTGTCTGCTTCACACTGCCCTCTGGCAATTTCAGCTTGGGTTCCTTATATCCAATTATATTTAATTGCTGGTGCACCACCATGACATACAAACCAAATGGGGAAGCAGTTCGGTAGTTAACAGGTTGCTCTAATTCCCTCCTTTTGTTGTAAGGAGAAGCCTGCCACAGTGCACTTGGGGAAATCCACACAAGTTCTTGTAGCTAAGGGTTCCCATATGGTTAGCCATAAGGGCAGATAGCTCTTTGTCTTTTGGATTCATGCCCTGGATAAGTCAGCACACCATCCTGTCTTCTCCTTGCTGAAAGGCAAGTGGGAAGCACTGAAAAGGGATGGGACTAGCAGCAGCCACAGGGTTAATCCCAAATATGAATCTGTTGCTGATTGCTTAACCTTCAATTCTGACATTTAGCAGTGCAGGTAAGTTACTATTTTTGCTAACCATACTGTCCTCAGAGCAGTACTAAACTAACCATTGAAAATAAGACAAAACGGTGACTTTTTTGGAAATGCAAAACAAACAGAAGGCCAACGCTGCATTCTCTGCTATTGTGAGTTCATATGTACCACTTCACCCAGCTGGATTACACATGAATAACTACATTACAAGTTTTTCCCAAGGCTTGCTTGTTTCTGTTTTCAATGCTGGGAATGATCATTTTAAAATAGATTAGGAAGGATCAACATCAGAGAGACTACCAAGGTAGAAATATTGGCCTGAAGTTTTGCAAATGCCTTCATCTTTCTGTAAAAGTACACAACTTTTGCTCAAAAGACCAAAAAACGTACACTGCTGGTGTTTTTTTCTCATGTTTTACTTTTAGATAGCTATTGTTTTTTTCATCTGCTGAAAGTTAAATAGTAAAATTACTATTTTCTCACAACTGTTACAAAGTTGTCCCAAGTATCCAAACTCCATTGTTCCAGGTCTAACCAAAACTAAGTATTTAATCCTGTGCATACTGAAGTCCAGACTAAAATTCACAAACTGCATTTGAGTCTGGACTGTGACCTCTAAAGGTTCTTGGGGTTGTGCTTCATGAAAGGTGAGGCTGAAAAGTACGCACAAGTCTATACTGAAAATGAAATGTGTGGCTACATGTTTTATAAACAGAGACAGGTAAAAAAGAGCAACCCCTCCCCACAGGATTTCCCAAATTAAAAGCCATACTGGACAGAGGAAAAAGGAAAAATGAGGGAGGGGGCAAAATGGAGACTGGTGGATCGCTCAGCTGTATAGATTAAATGGCATTTAGAGACAGGGGTGACCCTGGATTTTAAGCAGAAGGAAACAAAGTACCTGCAGGACAGAGTCAAGGGATAAGAAACTAGAACAGAGAAAGGAGAAATCACCCCAGCAAGAAAGAAAGCACCCCAGCAATGCAAGCAGCAACCCAAGTCTCTGAGGTGAGTCAACCATGAAGTCAAGAGATGAAAGATTCCTTCTGCCTGCTGCATTCCTCTGTGGGTAAATCCTTCTGCCTTTGGCCAGCATCAGACACAGCATTAACAGCATTAACTCAGAGTGCACTGCTGCAAGAACTCAGCCAGGCAATTTCTTCATTAGGATAGTACCTATGGATAAAAGCCCTGATACTGATGGCTGAGAGAAGACCAATAATTCTTGCCTACTTTTATCACACTGCCTTCTCTCCCTGCAGAAAGCAAGCACAGCCTTTGTTTACCCCATTACTCCTATGTGTTCGAACATTTTTTGTGTTTCTTGATTAAAAAAAAATACATTTCAGCTGTCTCCTCAAAACTAACATTGGAAAGTTTGTAATTACATCATAATGAGGTCTGGCACTTAGCAAGTATGTTATGCTCCCATGTTAAACGGTTTACCTTGGTAACGACTGTTTTTTGTGACTCCCAAGTCACCCCAGTGTCATCAGTGCTGCTTCTCACAATTTTCATCTCCATCCTCTCTGTGCAGGCAATCAGAATTGCCATATTTCAAATCAGCAGAACAAATCTTACAACAAATTCAGTAAGAAGTGGCTTGAGGCTATTCCTGCCTGTAAAGATCCAGCATGTCATACATTTTATCTACAGCTTTGCTGAATCTTTATAGCTCTCCATTTGAAATCTAAATTTGTTTCACTGACAGCAAAGGAACTGAATTAAACATCACCTCGTTTGCTGAAAACATTACCAAATGTCAGTAGTTGACAGTGAATTCACTCAACGACTTCTTTACTTATTCATTAGAAACAAAATTTTCCCACCTTGCTCTTTTCCTTAATGCATAATTCTGATTATTTTTATTTTTTTTTTACACAGAAAATTCTTCAGTTACCAGGATCTGTATTTGTCTCTCATGTGAGTTTACTCAGAATTTCCCACCCATTCCCCAAGATGCACATCAATTTAAAAGTCAAAAGATCTAATTTAATTAAGTAAAACGAAAGGAAAGGAAAAGGCAGAACTGAAGAGGCATATATAAATTGCAAGTATCTACTGTAGTTCATACTACAGGATGCTTTTCATGATCCTGTCACAAATGGTAGTACCCATGATGCTTCCAGAATCACCAGGAAATGTTCTGTGAGAGTGTCAAAGAGCATGAATCCTTACAAGCTCCAAGATGCACAGCATCTTGAGATTGCTCGAATTGTGTTATTAGTAAATAGAGAGGTTCTAATAGACCTCAAATTTCCCTAACAAGGGAAATAGTCTATTTTGTGTATAAACAAGCCAAAAGACTTTAAAAAAGGATAGGGTAGGTTAAGAGACTTGCCAAGTCTGAGCCCTGTGACTAAACAAACAAACAGATGAATAAACAAAAGCAATCATATAAACACCCTTTGAAACTTCCTTAAAATAACAGCTGGAGTTCCTTCCCTCTTACTCTCTTTCAACCCTCACCGGAAGGCATCTTCTCAAACTCATGTGAAGTCAGCTGAGCACTGCTGTGTCTCAAAGTCACTGTGTCTACTATGGTTGTGCAAATTAGTGATGCAATCTAGCTTATAATGCATATAAAGTGTAATTCAATTTATTAAGAAAAATATCCCACTCTCGCCTTCAAATGTATAATGTACTGGCATGCATTGAATGGATAGGCATGTTGGAAAAGCATCTCCTCAAGAATACACAAGGTCTAGCTGCACTTCACAGAGCCCCTCAAGAACAAGCCAAGAAAGGATAAGATGTCAGCAGTGGTCTGGACTCACCGTTTGCCACATGCCATGGTTGATAACTGGTCCACTGCTGGTCACGCGGCCTATCCCATTGTATTTCAGCTGCAGTTCTAGCCGTCCTTTGCGCAAAGCCAACACTACCCATGTGCTGTCTTGATGGCCTCCAGCAAAGAAAAGGATACCTTCAGGATCAAAGGTTCTAAAGTCGAACTCAGCCACAAGTCTGACCGCACAGGTGCCAAGAAATAAATTAGTTATGCAGAGTTCAAAAACCACAAAATACTTTCCATACAGATAGCATCAACTCTAGCAGTTACAAAGCTCTGTTAAAACACACTAGCTTTTAATGCACTCCTGAAAGACTTAAGTTGTGAAGTCAGGTTTTAAAATAGCGTCAACAATAAAGAATACATTACTATACTTCGGCAATTATCCTAGGAGTTCTGTGGTCAAGGCTGCCTTTCTCAATTACTAGTTTGGGTAATGTTTTGCCTTACAGGACTCCATAATCCAAACAAATAACGATGATGACAGGACTAATTGTTACTGTAACAACTTAACTCCATTGCACGCATTAAGCCAGATGGTGCATTTGACTGTCATTCTAAATTGTCCTCACCTCGTCAGTTGTTTCCTTTTGAAGCGCAGCCTGATGACAGGAGCGCCGCTGAACATCCTCCCCAGGTACATAGATTTAGCACTTTTTCCAGCAGCAAATGGCACACATGGTATTATGTTCTATAATCAAAACATATTTTTGAGTTTTCTCCTCACACAGCAGAAACAGAATCACAGAGTATGCCTCCTCTTTTTTTCTCATTCAGTTGCTATTCACATAGTAGGTTAGGGCATCTTAATGTTTATATTCTCAATGTACAGTTGTTTTGGCACTGAGAACATTTCCTCTTTCCTTCCCTCCTCCCCCCTATCTGCCTTGGAGGAATGTTTTCCTGCTGCAAAATGAAATCATACTCATAAGGTACAGCACAAAGTTTCTACTGCAGCATCATGCCCGCCACAAAACATATGCTAAGAAGTTGCTGTTGGTTGTTTACTGCAGAGGCAGCTTGTGCCACTGAAGCCCATCCACCCCAAATGCTTGGAGGAGAAAAACATTAAGAGCCAAGTGTTGGTCCATAACTTACACCATCCCCCCTGAGACCTTCACACTGTCCTACTGGGTCTAAATCAGAAAAGCTTGTGCAGCCATAGCAAAACAGAGGGTGACACAGCTATCACTGGCATGTTCTTTCTGGAACGGGGACAGGAGGAGACTGAGAAGAGAGACTTTCAGAAGGAAATTTCTTTTCAGGAGAACTACTGTCACCAGTTCACATGACTTTGCCAATATGATACTCTCCTGCTGGTCACTCAGCTTAGATGGCTTTGGTCCAGAGCTTCATCAGTTATTCTTAACTGCAATGTAAAATAAAGGGCTGTTCTGCAGTTACAGCAATGAAGACCAACATACCTCACAGGTATTCATGTCCTGGGAAAGTTTTACTCCCCCTCTGCCATCACAATGACAGGTATAACTTCCTGGCAAGTTGACACAGGTCTGTTCACAGAGCTTCTCTTCACATTCATTTATATCTACACAAAACCAGAAAGTAAGAGAGGAGAAAACACCGAGTTTGTCTAAACATGAATCATCTGAGTGAAAAAAAACACATTATCAGTGCTGTTTTGTAGCACCTGTCATTTGAGCATGGCCAAGTGCTCTGTAGCCAGTACTTACCCTGTGCTGCATCTTTATAGGAGGGAAGGGTTAGAATTAGCATCTGCACGAATTTGTTTTCACAGACAGATTCCAGCTGCCCAAATATACACAGCAAGCCAGTGGGAAGGCTGGAAGCAGAGCAACTCCTTGTCTGCTGCTGCAGAGCCCTGGCCTCTTAACTTCTAGACAAAACCTCCTCCCTTCATGCCCTTCATGCCCCTTCTGGTATGCCTGCGCTGACTGGTTCCTGCTCCTTCAACTCAGGTTCAACTTAAGGACTGCTTGCTTCATTGCTACTCAGCAGCTGGATCCTCAACAAAGTAAAAGCTGAATTTCTCATTCATTATTTTCTCTTTTTTTTTTTTCCTTATTTTTTTGTGTTTGGTTTGTTTTTATCCTCTCACAAACAAATGTAGGAAAACAAATCGTGATGGCCCACAGGGATCTCTTCAGGCAGAGATAAACACTTACAGGCCGGTAGGGCTGGGTGGCTTGTAATTCAAGTCATTATATTAACTTAGACAAAAGGCAGGGAACAGTGCTAGTTTTGGAACACTTTCAAAACTTACTCGGTTGAGAAAGCTTGCAGGCAGTGTAGCCAGCAGAACTGTGCATGGTTCCAATGCATATTAAAGTCCTAGTTCAGTGTAATATCACAAGACGGGTTTTGAAAGAACAACAGCTACAGCTCTGTACCTTTTCTTGTCCTACAAAGAGAGACAGCAACATGCACAGAAGCTTCTGAGCTTCTACCAGATCTTGTACTTGTCATATATTCAAGAAACCTCAGTACTCTGGCTCATACAGCTGGATTCAAGTCATCAAAAATGACTGTAAACTCAATGAACTCAAGGATATATGTTTTCAAGAAGGGGAAAATGGATGACCCAGGGAATTACAGACCAGTCAGTCTCACCTCTGTGCCTGGCAAAATCTTGGAGCAGATTCTCCTGGATGGCATGCTAAGGCACATGAAAATCAACAAGGTGCTTGGTGACAGCCAGCATGGCTTCACTAAGGGGAAATCCTGCCTGACCAATTTGGTGGCCTTCTATGATGGGGCTACAGAACTGATGGACAGGGGTAGAGCAGTTGATGTCATCTACCTGGACTTGTGTAAAGCGTTCGACACCATCCCACACGATATCCTTGTCTCTAAATTGGAGAGACATCAATTTGATGGATGGACCACTTGGTGGATAAAGAACTGGCTGGATGACCGCATGCAAAGAGCTGTGGTCAATGGCTCAATGTGCAGCTGGAGACCAGTAACAAGTGGTGTTCCTCAGGGATCGGTGTTGGGACCGGTCTTGTTCAACATCTTTGTCACTGACATGGACAGTGGGATTGAGTGCGCCCTCAGCAAGTTTCCCAATGACACCAAGCTGTGTGGTTCGGTTGATAGGCTGGAGGGAAGGAATGCCATCCAGAGGGACCTTGACACACTTGTGAGGTGGGCTGATGCCAACCTCATGAAGTTTAACCATGCCAAGTGCAAGGTCCTACAACTGGGTCGGAGCAATCCCAGGCACAGCTACAGGTTGGTCAGAGAAGAGATTCAGAGCAGCCCTGCAGAGAAGGACTTGGGGGTGTTGGTTGATGAGAAAATGAACATGAGCTGGCTTCAGTGTGCGCTTGCAGCCCAGAAAGCCAACTGTATCCTGGGCTTCATCAAAAGGAGCGTGACCAGCAGGTCGAAGGAGGTGATCCTGCCCCCCTACTCTGCTCTTGTGAGACCTCACCTGGAGTACTGTGTGCAGTTCTGGTGTCCTCAACATAAAAAGGACATGGAACTGTTGGAACAAGTCCAGAGGAGGGCCACGAGGATGATCAGGGGACTGGAGCACCTCCCATATGAAGAGAGGCTGAGAAAGTTGGGGCTGTTCAGCCTGGAGAAGAGAAGGCTGCGTGGAGACCTCATAGCAGCCTTCCAGTATCTGAAAAAGGCATAGAGGGATGCTGGGGAGGACTCTTCATTAGGGACTGTATTGACAGGACAAGGGGTAACGGGTTCAAACTTAAACAGGGGAAGTTTAGATTGGATATAAGAAGGAAATTCTTTCCTGTTAGGGTGGTGAGGCACTGGAATGGGTTGCCCAGGGAGGTTGTGAATGCTCCATCCCTGGCAGTGTTCAAGACCAGGTTGGACAAGGCCTTGGGTGATATGATTTAGCGTAAGGTGTCCCTGCCCACGGCAGGGGGGTTGGAACTAGATGATCTTAAGGTCCTTTCCAACCCTAACTATTCTATGATTCTATGATGACTGCAAACTGCAAACTTACAGCTACAGAAAGGGAACAGAAGACCAGTGTGTAAGCAAGATTTTTGTTATGAAAAGCTTTTACTGAAGTCTGAAATTAAATTTCTGGGGTCTTAGAGCTTTGAATCATGCAATAAATGCTAACATGGTGTTATTTTATGACCTTACCTTGACAAGTCTTTTTCACATCATCATACTTGTAGCCTTCATCACAAAGACATTCGTATGAACTTATTAAATTTTTACAATGAGCTTCTCCACAGATGTCTGCTGATGCTGTGCATTCATCTATGTCTGCAAAACAAGCAATTAAACAACATGACTTCAGAAGAGTGTAATCACTTCGTGTTCCCACACTGGAGTGGGCTTAGGGTCAAGAGAGCCCTTTGTTATTTTGGTAACTAAAAAAGACAGTATCTTTAAGACTACCTTTAGGGTTACCTAGCTATAGGAAGTGACTTGAGGCTTTCAAAACTAGTTGGTCTTTCTTTCTTTAAGCCATTAACCACTACTTGAAAAATCAATGCAAAGCAAGCCAGGAGAATAGCTGTAAAACAGAACAACTCCCACAAAACCAAAAAGCCCCACTCCATTCAGGGGCAGAAAACAGAGATTGAAAAAGCTGCAAACAGAAAAAAAAGCAGGAACCGAGGAACAGCAAGTATGCATTTTACCTAAACACAGAAGGAACATGCAGCCTGTGGAGCATCAGAGATTTCTCTTCTCCTTCCTCAGACAGGCAAACAGTAATTTTTCATGTATTCACAAAACTAAGGTCTAAATCTTCTGATCTGTAGTGGCAAAGGGGAATTGAAGCAGCCCAATTTGTCAGAGAACAAGTCATGATCTTAAGGTCCCTTCCAACCCTAACTGTTCTATGATTCTATGTCTGAGAGATGTTGTGGGCTTTCACCATGAAGGCAGGCAGTAGGATGGAACTGGAGGACGATAAAAACAAATACGTGTTTTTCTAACATTTTAACTAATACCCAGCAAAATCCTGGTGTTGACAAAACATATGCAGTGTACTGAGAGTTTAATATTTACTTTTGCTTTCCCGGACATGTTAAAACTACAATTACATGTTCCATGCATGAGTGAACTGGCCGATGGTAGTCTATTTAGTATGCTATGCAACGTAGTCTAAAAATCAACAGACAAAACTTAACTTTTTGGTATGTGCACATAATGACAGGAATAAATGTGAAAGAAAACTGAAATGCAATGATAAATCTCAGCTAGCATTAACCACAGCTGACAGTAACCTCACAAACAGAGGGTCACATGCTGAAGCTGCAGAATGCTTATACACTATGTTCACAGTGCTCTAGTAGACTAGGGTATTATACAAATATATATACATATAAAACCAAATGTAATTATGAGCCCACTCTCTGTCCACCTGCCCATGCCAACTGGCACCAGAGGACAATTCAAAAGTGGGGCTGGCTCTTCTAAGTAGCTGCTGCCATTAGAAAGGAATATCATGTAATCTACAGAGTTGTCACTTTTCACAGTGGAAGTGACAGAAATAAAATAAATAAAATTTATTTATGTAAAGTGACAGAAATAAAATCCTGATTTGTGTGTTTTTGCTGGTAGCATTAACGATGTTGTTCAGATCAGGTATGTAAACTGTGTACAAGTGTGTCATCACATCCATCTATAGAAGGTACATACACAGACTTGCCTGTTTCTTCATGAGATGCACATACCTTTAACAGCCATCTGTGATCATTAACGAGTCTGCCTCAGCATGCTGTTTCTTAACACTTTTAAAATCTCAGTTGCTCAAGTTTTGGTTATGTAAATTCATTCTGCAATTTCAATCAAATACTTCAGATCCTCACTTTCTGTTCTCAGCTGCTAGGTAAAATAGCTGCCAACCTTCACTAGGGCCTTTCTACAGCTATTAATATTCACTTGCAGTGAATTTATCCATCTGCACTATCTGAATTCATTAGCTGCTGCATATATCCAAATTTAGAAAGTAAAATAAGAAACATACAGAAGAAAAACAAATGGCCTGTATACTACAACAGCATGAGACTGGAAAAAATCATAACAACGCATTTGGCTAGCCCCTCTCTCAATGTCAGGATGAGTACCGATTGGCTAAACCAACTTAGCACAATCCAAGCCACAAATCCTCTGTGAATCACGCCTGTGTTATGATATTGGCAAGTAGCATGGTGTGAGCATGGTGTGACTGCTGACAAGCCCAGGCATGTAGCATTGGCTGGAGCACCCAGCTAAGAGGAGCTACCAGCAAGTCTCTGGTAGCTGGGGTAGGGACTAGAACAGGGCTGCTCAGTGCTACCCAGCTCTCAGAAATGAGAGTCACAAGTCACTAAGCATCAAATGAGAGTCACAAGTCACTAAGCATCCACTGAAGCAAACTGAGAGGCCCATCAAAGCTTACCTTCACAGGTTTTGCTGTCTTTAAGAGTGTAACCACTGAGGCATGAACAACGGTAGCTGCCAAGCTTGTTGAGGCAGAGCTGGTTACAGCCACCATTCTGTGTTCTGCATTCATCAATATCTACATCAAAAAAAAGTGTCACAGTCAGCTTTTCACCTCTGTAAATCATCTGCAGGGTGAGAATGGGATAGGTGTTGGGGAAGAGAAAGACCAAAGAAGAAACACTGTTACAGCTGCAACATGATGGTTACAAAAAGCACAGAGATTTCATTCAAACACTTCAAGAAAGTTAGCTTCAAGTTCATTTAACAAAAAAAAAGACCGAAGGAATTGTAGTTGAGTATCTCCTTCACAGCTCTAAGAATGCAGAAGAGTATCGTCAGTCACTGTTTAGAAAAGCAAGCTAATTATAACTAATGTATTTTGTATCATAACTTAACTTTTAAAATTATACTCTGACCAATAAGTTCAGGATGAAAGCTTTAAATAAAACAAGAACACTAAATCCTTACTACTACAGAACTCATGAGAAGACAAAAAACTTCAAGTTCACAGCTATTGAGCACTGTCACCTAAACCATGCTCCAGAGAAATTCACAGCAAAAGCCTGTTGGATCCAGAAGAGCCTGTATTACACCACTAATCTGCCTTACCTGCTCATTATATCCTGCTTGTATATGGACTCAGGAGATAGCTGATGGGTAGAACAACACATTTCATGCCATTTTATAAGAAAAAAAAAGGGGATATGTTTCAGAATAATCAGCTGCTGAGCTCTCAAAGCTGACTGTATACTGATCAGCCAACTGTCTCAAATGCTTAAATATACTGCTTGTGAGGGATCCTATCATCTCCCCACAATATTTACATCAGAAGGAAAGGCTTTGACTCTCCTGCTGTTTTCGTTGCCACAGTTCTGGACTGGCTGAATGTGATTTCTGGCAATAACTTCATATTGGAAGGCAGAAAAGCAGTGGCCCTAACAGGAAACCCTGCAGGCAGAGAATTAAAAAGGAACCAGAAAACAAAGGGAGGGAAGATAACTTCAGTATTTCATAAGAGAATAGAGAAAATCCCTCTGGGGGCCGGGAACTTCTTGCACAAATAGTTTCTGCCTGAACATTCTCTTAGGAGGTGGTCCAAATACACACTGGAATTAAGTGGATGTGGAATAAGGTCCTATTAGCAAGGAGGCTTTAGCAGATTACTTTCACTGGTTTGTGTATCATCAGACTCAGACCCCAACTTGACTGCTGAAAGTCACTATTCCCATTGCAGGCATGCCAGAAAGGAAGATGGGCCAGCTTCTCTGTCTCTGCAGTCTGTGATCTGTCACATCAGGATTCACAGCAGCAGCTGTTGTAGTTTTGCTTGAAAAGCCACTACAACTCTACTTCTGCTGTCTCTTTCAGAGGGGTGACACAGAAAGTGGAAGCATAACTTCTTAGGGTACCTTGCCAAGACCAAGCTGAGTTCTATTAATGTCTAAAAATGTTGATGTGAAAGAGTTACCTGATTCACAGACAATAAAAACATGAGCAGCATGCAATCCAGGTTCAGTTCTGTGACTTTCAAATTGCGCAGTATCAGTGACCATTTGAGAAAATCACAAAACCCAATACATGTTTGTTACAAGTATAAAAGATAATGAAACCCAATTACCTTTTTCACATGTTTTTCCCTGCCAGCCATGCTTGCATTCACAATAGAAGTCCCCCTTGAGATCTTCGCATTTGACAGTCCCCTCTTTGTGACAAGGATCAGGAGAACACTGGTTTGGCAAATCTGATTTATATAAGGAATAAAAAACACAAGTAAACAAAATGAGAACAATACATTGAAGTTACTAACAACTGGGTGTTTTACTCTCATTAAAAGTCAGGAAGCTTAAACAGTAATGGGGAATTACTACCAGAAATACACCTGGCAAAACGAGAAGCTAATTCTTAGTGCTCACATGCTGAACAAGCTGTGCCAGGAATTTTGTAGAGCACATACAGTGGAATTCATTTCATTGCAAAAGGGAATGAGCTACCACCCTGTATCTGAGGGGCACACCCTGAAAGAAGCAACTCAAAGTAGCTTGTTTTTAAGAAAGTTAATTTCACACTCCCTACTTTGAAGAAAATACAAAGCAGGTAGCAACTAAAGTAATAAGTGCTCAAGATAGGATGAGTTTGCTTTTAAATTACTCCCAGTAGTTCAACTGAGGATCTTACCAGGGCTGATAGATTTATGGCTAGCAAAGGTTTATACCTGAAATTTTTGTCAGAGCTGTCCAATTCAGGCTTTTTTTATTGCGTAGAATGAGAATAAAAAAAAGGAAAGACCAATGTGTTAACAGCATAAGAATGGCAAACCACTAATCCAGTTTACAGACACCACACTGGATTTTCTCCATAGAAAAGCAGCAAGAGGATGGTCACCATACTTTGGGGAGGACTGGAGGAACAAATATCAAATTATCAAGTAACTGTTCAACAAACGGACATCACTTTTCCAAATTTACCTACCCACCTAGCTATAAAACACCCAGGGACAGTGCTTGGCAGAGATAGCTAAAGGAAGCGTAAGGGAATACCCTTGTCCCAACAAAAAGGAGGCCAGTCCACACAAAAGAAAACACAGCTACATGGGCTGTCTGAACATACACCTGCCAGAATACCTCCCAATACATCACTGCCCAGACAATACACTGCTGGAGGTGGAGAAGTCGGGGAAGGACAGGGAAGGTTAAGGCAGAGTAAGCTGTAATCAGCATTTTTCCTAGACAGACCAAAATTTGTATACTGTAAACAGAATGGTTTAGGTATAGTAAGCCAAGTTTGGAAGCAGCACAATCTAAGCCTCCCAGACATGGCAGTGTTTTCAAAGTCACATGATAAGCAAAACAAGTCAATAGGGTTATGCATGACTTATCTGGTATATCCTCAAGATTCTGATTCTTTCTCTCAAACTGGATTTTGATGTGCCTTGCAGAGCCAGATGGAAGTAATGATGCCCAGGTGAATACCACTCTATCACAACCCACGGTGAAGGGCAGGAACAACCTCAGACATTTCTATCACAACAACACTGTGCCAGTAGTTTGCTCCTCTTATCATGAGAGCTTGAGAACATGAGGCACAGGCTTATACTCTCCTGGTGGCTTCATAGTTGTGTAATTTTGCCAGATTCACAGAAGTTGCTCCTGATTTAAATCACCACAAGAGAAAATGAAGCTTTTGTTTCCATTAATTTATGAGACAGATTTTAAAAGTAATGAAGAGCATGACCTTTTAATGTGTTTTGAGCTATTTCTCATAGCACATATATATATAGCTCGTAAGTGTGGACAGAATAGAACTACCAGTTCCATTTTTGAAGTCTATGGAAAGAAGGCTTTACCTAAGTACACAGCTTGCTGCTTCCAGTTCATTACTCTGTGCTGCCAATTTACTTTTTGATATTCACAAAATAGTGCAAATTAAAACTTCATCAGGAAAATGATAGGTTGTGAAGGTTATGGCACTCACTATTAAAAAGCAGACACTCATGACCTAACAAAAATCCCATTGTGCTTTTTAAGGTCACATGCAGCTTCATTTAAAAAAAAAATCTGTGGAATTTTCCAGACAAATCCTTAATTCCTGGCTGACAACCTTGCAGATCCGCAGACAAAAGTACAGGTACCTGTGCGTAAGGTAAGCATCTATCTGCAAAGCAGTTGTCATAAATTCTCATTGCAGTAAGTAGAGATCTAGTCAGTACAACAAACAAAGTCCATAGAATGATTCAGCTCTTCCCAGAGTAGACACAGTTTGGTCAATGGAATCCCCCTAGGTTAACTCCCCACTGATTGTGATGGGAATACTGCTCATGTAGGTACCCATGCTGGAAACACCTGCATCTACCTCTCTGAATCCAGAGCTGAATCCTACTCGTAGCCCTGATCTAAAGATCTTATGAAACTGAGAATCCTCAAATACTCTGCTAAGCTATCTAATTACTGTCACAGTTAAAATTTCTATCCTATTTCTAGTATAAACTAGTCTAGTTGATCATCCTCCAGCCTTAGATTGTGCAATGTCTTTGCAATGCCAGATTAAAAGAGCCTTCCACTACCCTATTTTGAGAGGAGAAAAGCTGTTAAGAGACAAAATTTAAATGTGTCTTGTGGGCACAGCTTCACATAGCTACAGACCCTTTTGGCAGCATCTGTGAAGAATTAAGAGGCACATTGGAACTGGCCAAGCACAAAGCCTGTCATTCTTCCAAGTGTGTCTCGGGCTCCTTCTCCATTACTTCTCCCATGAATTGACAATGGCTAGCCAAAACTCAGCCATTTTAATACTTTAATGAGAGAAAACATTATAATTTTATTTCCAAACTAGTGCATCTGCAAAGGGCAAAAATCCCTAAAAACAATTATTTAGTTTTCATTTTTTCATCACTATCATTTAGACTTACATTTCTAAAACATTGATTAGCTGTTTGGAGCAAGTGTTCCCAGCTGATAATGTCATTTTCAGCAGAAACTCCTGCCTCTTCACTGTGCCACACACATGAACAAAAGGAAGCATTTAGTCTTACGTTCCACTTTGAACTACCTGGCATACCACAGCTGACATGACTACCATAGATTTTAGAATTCTCAAAGGACTCGAACATCTGTAAGTGTTCTGCACTATATGAGGGCAAGTCTTCACATACCACTTACAAACCTTGGAATTCACTCTTCAAAAACTGCTGTAATGAAGTTTATAAACATGAGAGGTTGAGTAAATCCGGATGCTCCTTTGGCAGCACTGGGACAAAGACATGACTAATCAAGATTGTTCACAATGAAGACTGAACCACAGGGGTAAAAATGAAAATAAATGAACACATGTGATTTACTCCCCATGTGAACCGATCTGCTCCCAGAACATTTTTAGAACTTTTATGCAGCTTTATACCTTTAGGACTGCTAAGCTTCAAGAGGGAACTGGGAAGGTATTAGAACTGTTCATTACATTCTGATCTCTAGTGTTAGCGGCGAACAAATATACCCCTTTCCCCTCTACAAAGATAACAGTTTGACTTCCAAATTGATTTGAACTTGTAAAGGTTGCGGTATTTAAAGCACAGTCACGTGATGCCTGAAACCAATATCCTTGTAAAGAAGCCTGACACAAGCCTGTGTTTGATTTAAAGATTTTTTTAAGGTTTCCTAACAGGGGTAAGCTATTAAGGTTCCTATAACAGGGGTACTATTTAAGAGGAAAGACAATGAAAGGCCAAGCATAGGGTATAACATTATGGTAAATCCTATTTTTCATCCCTCTTGCTTTTCAGTTTATTCAGACCTTGGGAAACTGGTGGGAAAGAAATGTTGTGCATCATAAAATACCGAAGCACTGAAACACAGCAGTGAGGTGGTGACAGGTTATAAAAAGGAAAAGATCTTTTTTGCTGCTCATATAGGAAAAGTGATGCGGAGTCTCATGCCTACAGAATAGGAAGATCACTACTAAAATACTATCAAAAATGGAGATGGCTGAGCTGGTCCCACTCCTTCAGGTAGAATGAAAGAATATTTAACTACAAGATGCAAAACAAAAGTGCTTACTATGAACGCATGTAAGGAAATCAGGACTCCTTGTATACGGCGACCCATATTTCTGAATACAAGCTGAAGAACAGAAAATGAAATTATTATTATTATAATGATGACATGGCAGCTGTTCAAAGTGTGTCAAATGATACCTGACCTGCTGATTCATTGAGCAAGGATTTGGAGGATGGAGGAAAAATCGATGCAATTTTATTATCTCCCAGATGCCTTAAAATTCTCAAGTTCACTAAAATATTTTAGCTCGGGTGTACAGTACAGTTCTAAGCCATCTGAAAAGGATGATCACTTAACCAGATGCTACTATGATTCTAAAAGCATGTTAGTAGCTCATCAAATTTGACCAACTAAATCTCTTAAAAAATCTAAAAAGCACATGGAGTTTTCTCAAACTGTCAGCATTTGTGATCGTAAGTACTACATATTAAAGGCAAATAAAAACCAGTATGGTGCCATGACTATGATACAGTCAGTAGAGTAAGCCAACGGTTTAATAAGTAAAGGCATGTTTTTATTTTTAAGATAAGGAGATTAGTTAATAGCTGACTTAAAAAGGGAAGACAGAAGAGCTAAAATTATCTACTAAGATATAAATGCAACATCAACATTTTAACATGCAGAAAACACATAAGGATCTCTGTATGCAAATCTATACATAAGTAAAACACACCTCAAAATCACATAAGGAGCTTACAGTCTATCTTAAAAGTTATCAAAGCATGTTTATTGCAATCAGATTTCCATCACTTTCCTTAGCAGAGACTTCAGCTGTGACAAGCTCCAGTGTTAGGCACCAGATACCAGCACTGCCATAAAAGTGCAAGTGAAAGCTCCAACTCACCCAAGTATTTCGGGTAAAAATATTCCTGTAGGAGAAAAAACAAAACAAAAATAAAGATTTGTTTAATAATATTTGCTTTTCTCATCACACTTATTTAAGAGCTGCTGTTAGTTTGGTGGTCTTCACGTGGTAGTCATTTAACAAGGCCCAAACACCAACAATTTCTTTTTATTCAGAGCCAGAAGCAGCACAGTATCACATATGCATTTTGTCTTTTGAAAAGGAAAGGAACACTAGCTCCAGTCTCCACGTATTTTTTTGACGACGGCTGACCTGGTAAGTGGCAGAGCATGAAGCCACTTGCCCACTATCCAAGAGGCAACAATGCTGATGATGGCATAAGGTAGGGGAAGGAAGAGGAATCTAGAGATAAAACCACAGTGGGAAAGTATGTTTAGTCACTCAGTGCCTCCTTGGATGCACTCTGCTGATGCAGAACACAGGCAGCATGCTAACACTACAACCACTAAAATAAACGGTACTATTTGCTCTTACAACAAGCATCCTACAACTCTAGCAGGACCCATTGCCATACTGCCCACTCCATCACATCGTGGAGATAGATGGTCTGCTCACATCAGGGAATAATGGAAATTTGCAAGTGAAGGGAAATGATATTCATTAATCTCAAATTAGACTGAAAAAGGCATTCCCACTCCTCTTATGGTACACGACCATGCGTTGCTCTTCCTTACCTTGTGTCAACAAAGCGTAGCTGTACAAGGAGAGCAACAGTTTGCTGCTAGGATATGGATTTAACTTTGCACGTTAGAAAAATATTCAGCTTGGTGAGGCCTTGCCAGTGGCACGATTGCTTGCACCAACACAGAACAACAGCAGGAAAACACAGCCGTGCTGTATGGAAGGGTGGGAGACAGGCCTGAGCTGATCGTTAAACTGCATTCTTAAAAAAAATACAAAAATTCATGGCCAGGAAACAGCATTTCTTTCCAACTTCACTTCATACCAGGTCTTGTAATGCATAAACACTAGTTCAAGTGCTGTTAAAATTGTCATTGGGGCATGCAGTGAGGGAAAACTTATGGATTCTATCAGTGTTTATGCCTTTTTTCCTTAAAATGAACCATTTCTCAGCTAATTGTGAAAGCATAATTCTCTTTCCTACAACATGAGGAAATTTCCTATACTGCTATCTGCAGTGAGACTGGGACAGTAAATACCCTGTATTCGACAAAATTAATTTGGTCTATACCATGTGCAAGATAAGAAACTATTTTATCTTCTCCTCTTATTACGGGTGTTTGGATAAGCTCAGGCATATATACAGGCATGTACACACAACAGAAACAGCACACACCGTGATTCAATTTGACCCAGATTGTCTAATGCAATCAATTGCATTGCTGTCATTCACCAGAAAAAGCAATTGCTTCTGGCAAATACGCTCCAGTTATTGAAATGTACCATGTAAATATTCAGCCTAAATCATGAAAGCATCAAGAAAGAAGTAGTTTACACTTACTCTGATATTCAGTTCTGGTTAAGCTCTGTAGTATGTATCTCTTGGGTTAACAAACTGAGTGAGGAGCTCAGACCTCATTATGAGCCCCTCTCCCTCTTTTATTTTTTAGGTTTATTTTCAGAAAAGACAAGTAAAAAAAAAAATACAGTCAAAATAAATGTAAATCTAAGCAGTCCAAGTACTTAGATGGGTGCCCAGCTGTGCTACAGCCACAAACTGAACTTCAGCCAGTACTCAGGGAGAAAAAGCAGCATGTGATGAAATACTCCAAACATGTTTCTTACTGTTTCCTCTTTATTCAATACACGACACAAAAATGCTCAGACGTGTTTAACCACCAGCAGGATAATCCAGGCACTGGCAAGAACAACTTTTTCTGCACTGACAAGAAATAGAAGCTTTCATATTCATGGCCACCAGCCTAATTGGTTGAAGTCAGTGATGGCTTCATTTTTCACTTGACCTCTGATGAATGAGTTGAGTGCTAGAAAAGTTGCACAGAGTTTACTTTTGAATGAAATATTATGGTAACTAGTTATTTTCATTGCACAAATAACCTTCCAAATGCAAACTGACTGTATATTGATTCAAAGACAGTTGATCGGCAGAAAAGTGAAATTCCAAAACACTGTACCACCACAAGCTTCATTTCACAAGATACATAACAGAGGCAAGTGATTTAAGCAGGAGGCTATTAATAGAAATTTAACCCAAATCTACTTGCTGATCAGAAGCACTTCTCCGGGTCTACAGTTCCTGCTGATAATACCACTCTAAAGTAATGTAACATCATCACAGGTTCTAACATCACTTATTCTTGCTTGATTAACTTTTCAGTTTTCTCCATAATTAGTTTTCCTTACAAGAGGTGTCTAGAAATACAGTGACAATGTATTTCCATTCAGGCAAAAGATGGAACAAAAAAAATCACCACAGAATTATACTGACTGTTAAATTTTCAGCTTGGACTCTAGTAAAAAAGTCAACATTTAAATGTTGTCAGCCCTTCCTCTTTGGATTTGCTTTCCTAATTAGTGCTTAAAATAAAAGCAGAAGCAATGGGCTTTTTAAATAAAAAGCTATAAACAAATACATGTTGGACATAAACATCCTCTGTATAAGCTGCTGTATAGACATTGACCTCACCAAGCTTTCTATCCAATCTGTCCAGTAGCAATGTCCCAGTGCATGCAAGAGGAAGACAATACCCTGCACTTCAATGAAGTGGAAAGGACGGCAGGAGGCCAGTCCCCCCAGGCAGGTGATGACTTGCTTATTTCAGCTCACTCTGAGGACCCTTCCCTTGCTGTCCAGGTGACAGACCCGTGCTTTACCAGGAAAGATTTAAGCCCTACTGCCTGTGCCCCTTTCACATGAACACATCTACATGCTAGAAGCAAGGCTTTCAATGCATTAAACACAATTAGTGGTTTCCACAACTGTAGCACAAAATCTAAGAGTCCATGCTTTTATTCCAGGGTAGAGTGATACCAAACACTTCTTCATGAGGTTAAGAAGTTCCTCTCCAACCTACATCCAGAATTTGTTTCTACCTTTATAACAGTCATGCAACACTTAGTAGGAATGTCTAAAATGAAAAGAGAGCAGAAATTTAAAAATATCCTCATAAAAATCCAACCCAAACACCCCCAAAACTCCAGGATGTTCATTTTTACTTGTTTTTTCTTCCAAATATTAATGGTTGCAGTGAAATAGTGAAGAACAGTTTGTATGGAGCTACCCCCACAATACCCTGCACTGAAACAGCTGAGGAGAACAGCAAAGTGAAGGTAACAATTCCAAAGAGAGCTGTGAAGTTGAAGGGACAGAAGTACCTATATCAGTTTCCCTGCCAAAGGAAACCTACAGAGTGACAGGGTCACCATCTGTTTTCAGCTCCACGGCCAAACTCTCTCTTAGAGGTAAAATACAGAAGTTTGTAAAGTTATACTGAATATGCATTAGTCCTGCTTCATTTTTAAAGAAGGTGGAAGAACACCAAATCAGAACAGCCGTTAACATGACTCACTGTATAAAAATAGCCCTTCTGAAAACATAACAATGACCCTGTCTACACCAGGAAAATGTGCTCACTGTGACTTAAAGTAATTGACAACATTGGAAAACTCAGCCAAAAGGGCCTGCCAACTGTTTCTGTCTGTTTTGCCTGAGGACTAGGTCAGGTAAGCCTGATCAGCACTGAAATCTAATCAAGGTCATGTTTGAGCTGTAGTGTCAGCACATAAAAGATGTAGTTTACAGAAGGACAGTTCATGTTCCTTGGTAATGGGCTCTTAGTGGCCCTACTTGAGGAGGGGTGTTGAACCAGATGGCCTCCAGAGATGCCTGCCAGCCTCAACCACTCTGTGATTCTGTGACTGCAGCACTGCTAACACTGGAGGATCTCCCAGACTTGTTAGCACTGGTAATTTTTAAAAAGCACTTTCTTAGTTACCTAGTTACCTCTTAGAGAGCAGCAACAACTCCCACATCATGCCCTTTTCTTATTTCCACATAATGACTCTCCCTTTTCCTCTTTCCTTCAGGGCTGAATGTTTGTCTTGGGCATGGCCAGACCTCCTTGTTTATAAATGTACTTCGTGTTTCCACACTGTGGTCCTGCACTATCCTTGCAAAGAAACAGCCGCTACCAACCATAATTTGCTATAACATAGTGTTTGACAGCTGTTTAACTGTTATCACCTGAGAATGCAAATCTCAGTAATGCTTAAGAGCTCTCTGCATTTTTTGAAACTCAGCCCTAGGCTTTTGATGCATGGCAAACTTGATGCTGGCTAACGAGGCCTTCCTCCCATACAATGCAATTAAGCAGTCCTGCAATTCAGATGATACGTAGGTAGAACCTACAGTTCTAGAAGTTATGCTCAAATCAATGCCATGCTACTTGAACAAACTTTCCTTCTCATTGTGAGGACAACTACACTCAGCCAGGTTGCTTCCTATTTTGTTTTGGCCCCATCTGCCCTCTCCATGCAATGCACTGAGAGAACTTCTCTCCACAATTTGGCAAGTGAGGCTTTAAAGAAGCAAGCAGGTCAGGGTACACTACAAAAGCACCCTCAGATTCTCATCTCTTACTACCGAAGTTGTAGATGCTTAGGGTAGTTTTAGATTTAGTGGCCGTTTGTAAAGTATCCACGCTGTCCAGCTATTCTGGCACACAAAGACTGTGACTGCCCCTTCCACCATCTCTCCAGACAAGAAGCATTCAAGATCACCCTCTCCAGCATCCCCCATTTCATAGAGAGTAGGCATTTCTGCAGAATCCTGAAAGCTCGATAAAAAAGCATCTATTGTCACAGTTTCCCTTGCCCTGTTCTGAGGGGCAGGACTATTTCCCACCAGCTTACTGAGGTGCCACTTCAGCAGATGCTGCTCTGCAATAACAAAAAACCCCACCAATGATCACAATGCACAATTACAGGAAAAAAAGTAATAAAAGGAAAAAATAAAAAAAAAGTTCCTGCATGTCCCAGCTGACAAAACCACAGGTACTTTACATTTGTAAAGACGTAGGAGGG